ACAAAAGATCCTGCGGGTTAAGTAGAAAAGAGAAATTGGTGTGAAATTTCCCAACACAAAGGAATATACAAACTTCCAAGAAACTTAATTCACGTTAGTGTGGAAGTTCATAATCTCTCTGTCAAAGAAAAAAACTCATATGCAAAAATGGTGGTAAGTTGAAAAGGCAATAAATCACATATTTGGGGTACTCAGTCATATTGGAAAAGACATTTGGATTGTGGCAAAGACCTCCATCCATTTGATAGAGTCAGACCAAATAGTACAATCAAATTCAAGGCAAGTGAGTCAATGATTTTAATCTTAGTAATATTTCAACTCCAATTAAGTTTTACAATGTCGACAAGTAGAAGCATGCTAGGTATGGAATTACATCAATTAATCATGTTTTGGAGTTGTTTATAATTGGTTTTAATTATAAATATATATAAATAAGTGATGGATAAGTAGATAGTATTTGTGGAATCCATGAAATATGTACATAAAAAGTAATTTAACCGAATATAAACCGATGCCGAACAAAAGAAATAATAATTTTGACATAACGATAATTAATATTGAAAAAATGTCATATTGTCTAATTTGGTTGAATGTCCGGTGGTCAGAGTAGCACTTTACGAATTTTAATTGTCTCAAAGTTCACCTTTTTAAATTGTCCGCTCTATGTTTGCTAGAGCCTAGACCTTATAGTTTTATAAAATTTCGAACATTACATGAACTCTAACCCATAATTTTCTTAAGAAAGATCAATCTGAGTTTGGTGGCGCGGAAAACTATGGACTTCTAAGTTATAAGACTAGAGATTGCTTCTATCTTCATAAACAGAAAACTTAATTCTCCATTATCTTACCGTGTGCTCCTGTCTTGTGCTCATTTCAGACGGTTAAAACAACCCTAATTTGTTTCTACTTTTAGCCGAAGGGACCCCAGAATAAAAATCCATCTCCTACAGTTATTCTTGCAACTGAGTAGAGTACAAAGCTATCTATATAACTTAAATACCAACTGAATCTGGTCTTGTTGAATTTGATGTCATGGAACTCATTCTGGAGTGGAATTTGTCCTAGTATTCGACTCCGTAGCTGCATGGAACCCAAGCTGTGGCATAGATTGAGTTGTGGCCTTTCCATGTTAGCACTAGCATGTCGTCGTCTTTCTTCATGCCCCACCCACTTGCATGTTCATCTAACAAGATTTTAACTTCCTTTACAGTCTCTTCACACAATGGAACACTTTGAAACCCTCTATTTGCCATCCGTTTTGAGAGTTTGGTTCCGGGTTCCATTCTTTCTATTCTTTGGATACCTTCGAATCCAATATACAAGAGATAAAACACTGGTTATACAGCCTCGTACTCTATCCTTTGAGGGCTATTTTTTGGCAAGAAAGTCTCAAAGGCGTCGAAAGGTATCCACAGATAGTTAAAGCAAGTTGTGATCCTTGATTCTAGATTTGATGTGCCTAAATCACAGTCCTCATCAACCACTGTCACAATACAAGGACTTAAATCTTTAATTGTATCAAGAAATGCATCCCGACAAGAGGTGTCATGAGGAGTAGTCCCCATCACTTCATCGGGCAAGTACCGCAGCCAATTTTGGCAGTTAATTACCAAAGCTTCATCATCCCTCAGTTTCAGGGTAGAAGGGTTTAACTGACTTAGGAGTAAATCATAATGATTAGATGACCCTAATTGTGATATGCCTGCATCCGTTGGAGACAGTGGTGAGACTTCAATTACATTGATTTCAAAAGGGACATCCTTAAACTTTGCAAATTTTGTCAAACGTTGGCAGACCTCTTCGCACGACACATTGAGCAAAGGAGGGACAGGTGGCCTCCAAGAAGGAACTGAAATTCGAAGCGATGGAGGCCCTTCTGACCTCTTGGCCAATGCATCTATAAGAGTTGGCCATTGCATGCAATAAGTGATGCTGAAATCTAAAATATGAACTCTTGGGAGCCCTTGAATAGCCATAAAAATGGCACTATTTGATGCACAAAAACCAAACCTATGCCATGGGATAAGATCCACGTACCCGGCTAGCTCAATCACGGTCATAGTCCTCCTCTGAAGGACACCTTGGCCGTCAAAACTTACTGTCGTAGGACAAACCCTAGCAGCCCTCGAAATAAGTGCCTTTAAGAACCATGAAGTCAGCCTCTGATTAGGGTCACCAATCGAGGAAGCCACATTATTGAGTACCCACATCACTTGTTGGGCCAAGGTCACATCTTTGTTCTCTAGGGCACTTGCAAAATGAAGTAGAAGTTTCTCTATGCATGCTCCATCTAGACTCCCTAGGCATTCTTTTAATGCACCAGGAATAGAACTTTGAGATGTATTGTAAAGACTAGGGTTTTGCAATGAAATGGATGAAGAGTTTCCCCTTAGTTCTGCTTTCATAATTTGTTGATGAAAATAGTGTAAGGATAAGAGAACAAGTTTGAACTTCCACTAGCTACCCTTGTATATTTAAAGAAATAAAAGAATCTCTCAACCAATAATTTTCTTAAATAGAACCAAATAATTGAATAAGCCACGACTTCAAAATAAATTGAATGACAATAATTCTAAGAATATCCCGTTTTCCATGTTTTTTAATTGAATGATTAGACCGCCGTAGAAGATATGCAATTTCAAGAAATCCTCTGATTTTGCACATATCAACTCACTTTAAAAGAAATAGGACAACGAATCACATGTTTATTGTGTTCACTATTAATAGAAACAAATGAGGGAATAGTAATTTGTGATTGGGCTAATCAACAAAACTACTGTTGAATAATAATCAAATGATCGTTTTTTTTTCTCTTTTTTAATAATTTAAGTTTTTAGATAATGTAATTCGACACGAATCACAAAAAGAGCCACAATCCATCTTTTGAGTCAAGGTATGAGGGTTTTGAGGAAAATGAGTATTGTATCTTTCCTAGTACAGTTTAGACAAGTCCCAAGTATTATTCGAAATCAAAAGAGTTTTTTTTTTTTTTCCTTCAAAGTATTAAGATTTTTTTTTTCTATCTTAAAAAGTTATCTTTGTTAAGAAAAAATAATTTTATACTTATTTAATCATTAATCGATGTAAATTTTTAATCTTAACATGCTCCAACAAGACGATAACTCATTTTGAGAATGTCTCCCATTGCTCTTTTAAATTTTTAATGGATTGCTCGTGTGAGCTTAATGAGTTATGATACTATGGTAAGACTTTCGATTCCTTTTTAAAATGACAAACTTGTTAAGAGAAGAAGTTCAATCCCGTATTTGTTGGATACTTATTTTGACAAAAAAGGTATTTTAGGTATGACAATTGATTATATTTTCTTGGATTCCATTTGCTTTATGTAAGTAACTGTTAGAACTTTTGTGTTGGCTTTGGATATAGCTTAGTGAAGCCACTTTGGCTGAATTTGAATTAACAAACAACAAAATTGTAGATTTATTAGATTGCATACGGGAGTAAAGGTGATGAATAAGTTAAGAAGCTGTCTTAGCCGGCCAGCCTTTTGTCGAATTTGGATAAAGGAATTAATTATGTCAAGGACTGTATCGTTTTGTGTAATGTAGATTTGGCATTTTCTTAGTAGAATGGCCGGTTATTATTCATTTTTTGGCGACATATGAAGTTGGTTTTTATCAGATTAGAGTCATGTAATACCACAAAAAAAAAAAAAGGTTGGTACTCTTGATTACAAACTACTGAGCATTTGCAGAAGAATTTCTACTCATTTCTTTTCTAATGTAGGACAATTCTCAGAACTGTTGTTTTCTAGATCAAATGTGCATGCATTCTGATGCGGGGAGAATCATTGCAGTTGGGGTAGGCCTATTGCGCGGGTGTTGGACCCACATTCATTCATTGTTCACGATCATATGATATACTAAATAATATTGTTCGGTGATGATTAAAATTAGATTTTTAGTAGATTGTTATACAAGTTTTTGAAATGTGTGGTTGAAAAGATGTGAGATCCATGGAAAATGTGGTTAATATTGATTGTTTGACTTTGATTTTGATTAAAATCTGATTTTAATTTGTACCAAACAGGCCCTATACATACATACATACATACATAGAATACCTAAATACAAATTTTAAATAATGTCACTGTTATGTCTCGCCACAAGGCTCATAGTGGAAACCACGCTATACTCCACTTGGGGACATTGAGTTAGAATTGACAAAGTCAACAAAGACTCAATCGGTCAAAATAAAGTAGTCAAAGAAGAAGTTGATTCCCTTTGTTTCGAAGCTCCATTTGGCCGATACCCTTGCTCAATTCGAAACTCTCATTGGCCAAAGCACTCGCTTCATTCGAAACTTCTTTTGGTTGAAACCCTTGCTGTCAATTAGAGGATCTGTAAACAATCTTTAGGAATGATTGATATAGCGTTTATAATAATGAATGTCGGGTTTGTCAGTATAGAGTATATGGTAGTTAACTCGTTGTCAATGTATTAAATGCGTAGCAAACTGAGTGATGTGAGACTTCAACCTAGGAGATGAGGCCACGTGATTCCCATCCAACGGCAACAACTTCGATCAGAACTCTTTAAATAAACAACTCCTGTAAAATTTGTTTCTAATGCAACTCTTCACACCTAAAGATTTGTTTCTAGTGTAACTCATTTCCTATTATTTGCTTGAGTTTAATTTGTTTTTAATTTGGTTGAGTTGTTTAAGATTGTTTGTTTATATGCAATCATCTTTGATCGTATTGCCGGTGCTTGAACAACTTTATCTCGCATCGTAAAAGCAATTCCCACGTCCATAAACACTGCCCTTCTCCATCCGAATCTTCGGTCGAAACGTGTTGGAACTTGCTTGCGTAGACGTGAGTGGAGTCAGCATTTGTTGTCCACGTAACTATTATGAAAAATGGGGAATTGGCACCATCTGTGGGAAATTGTACATCAACTATGAAAAACCCGTGGAAAACGCTGGTAATGATATATATATATATATATATCTTTCAATATATAAAAAGTGCCTATTTAACGGAATTTGTTGGTTTAACGGAAAAACTAACGGAATTTATTGTTTTAACGGATTATGTCAACGGAATTTCTTGTTTTAAACAGGCAGCTGCACCTTCTTTCAGTATTTTTATCATAACTTTGTATTCCGATATTCGATTGAGGCGATTCAAAATGCGTTGGAAAGCTAACCCATCTGGCTACAACTTTGATTCAGACATCATTCTCCAATTCAATCACTTTCTATACCAAAAATATGTCTCAATATAACGGACTATGTAGCGGAATATTTTGTTTTAAACAGGCAGCTGCACCTTCTTTCAGTGTTTTTATCATAAATTTGTATTTCGATGTCCGATTGAGGCGATTCAAAATGTGTTGAAAAGCTAACTCATCTGGCTACAACTTTGATTCAGACATCATTCTCCAATTAGAACACTTTCTTTGCCAAAAATAGGTCTCAATATGAGACTAAAACACCGGAGCATAACTTTTGGTTAGAAATTGATTTGTGATCATCTTTTGACTAAATTTGATCCCCTTGACATCTTCCTTTATCCAATTGACTCCGAGCACTCTCAAATCTTCATCGTGAGATTCGGCACAACTTTTAAGTATTTACATTTTAGCCCCCGAACTTTGGATCCCTTACAATTTAGCCATTTCTCCAAATTTGTCTACTTTTGCTTATTTTCTTCAATCTCACCAAC